CTCGTCTGAAATCTCACCAGCCCTTTTCCTGTGTTTCAACAAAAATTGACACTGTAGCAGTAGCTGATCTGTCGTGATTATTTAGGCGTCCAGGGAAGTACGTCCTCACACGGGACATGTGGTGGTGGGTCTTGCCTTAGACCTCAGGGGAATACCATATAGAGGAGTGGACAAAGGGTCTGGGTTAGAATTAACTTAGAAAAGGGAAAATGTTGTTGTAAAAGGGGGAGGGATGTTACCTTTTAATGTGTACCGCAAACGTATTCCTTCCAGCCCAAAGGCTGCTTTCTAATCTAATCTTTCAACTTGTTCCAAATCAGTGAAGTGTTTTATTCTTGTGGCTGCATTCAGCTTTCAAGATAAAGAGTCAGGGCTCGGCACCCGTAGCACGGTGTTTACAGCTTTGGCCACGTACTCCGAGGCTGGCGGGTTCGAGCCCAGTCCAGGCCAGCTAAGCAATAATGACAACTGCAATAGAAAAATAGCTGGACGTTGTGACGGGCGCCTGTAGTCCCAGCCACTTGGGAGGCTGAGGCAAGAGAATCGCTTAGGCCCAAGAGTTTGAGGTTGCTGTGAGCTGTGATGCAATGGCACACTACTGAAGGCGACAAAGTGAGACTCTTTTAAAAAAAAAAAAAAAAAAAGATAGCCTCTTCCCCCCCATTTGAAATCCTCACAAACGCTTTAGCGAGTTTGTTTCCTTTATAAATGTTCTAGCCTGTCTCCATACTTTTGATCCTCTGGAGTAATTTCTTCCTAAATAAGAAACTGACGTGCAGTTGTGGCACATTGAATTAAAGGGCCAATAACTGGAAGTTTTCACACACACACACAGAGTCGGAAGAGTCTTGCTTTTCTACATGCCTACTGGATGATGCTAAATGTCTTTCCCGTACTATGAGCCAGTCTTACCCGTATTGACTTGAACGTGCAGGACGAACATAGGTACCAACACTCTATTTCAATGACTGTCTATTTGCAATACAGGGAACATGAAAAGGGTTTTCTGTGCAAAGAGAAAATGTCTCAAAAGGATTATGAGTGCTTCTGTCAAAATCGTTCACCAAACAACTGATCACGTTTGGAATATCCAACAAGAGCAAAGGTAAGCTTGTTGGAAGTTGAGAGCCAAACCATTTGTCTTATGTCTTAAGTGTTCCTGAGTACGGAGTCAGGAAGAAAACATTGTGTGTTCTATTTGGGGGGAGGGGTTCTCGAGTCGCACGTACATCTGGCTTCATTTGTCTCTAAGGTATCCATTCCTTTAGTCCTCTGACCTCACGCCATGATTGGAATGAGATGCATTTCCTCAGGGCCAATAAAGATGACCTATTTCACCCATGCCAATTATAGTTGATGTGCTTGAGATAAAGAAGTTTCTGTTCATTCCATGAGCCCGATTCCTGAAGTAGAGTTAAGTGTCTTAAGCTGGTAGTCTTGTAATAGTTAGGTGTGTTCAATTATATGGACAAGATTAAACTTATATAAAAACAATTTGTAAATTGTACTGAATTAGTCTCACTCCTTTTCACATACAAAATCATTACTGTGAGAATGTGGGTGAAAATGAAGTATATGTGGTGGGACATCATGGATGATTAATGAGTATATCATCCTCATGGAAGCTGTTCCTGATGTCACAACCTACACATTATTCAGATGGAGAAAAGGGCAAAGACACTCATGTCGACAAAACGTGTTTCAATGGAAAGCTTTTAATACAATCCATCTCCCGTGATTGTAAAGTGCCGAGGCACGTGCGCTAGCTTCTGTCGCAGCTAGTTACCAAAATAATACTGATGGAATGAGAGTAATTCATCTACTTTATTTTCCCAGTTCCTGTCAGAAGATTAGGGCTGATGTTGTCACCTTCTCCCTTCATCGCAAAAGCCAGGGCAAAAGAATTTTGTTTGGAAAGTGTTTGACTTTGTTGTTATTTCTAGGATGTATGACAATGCCCATTATTCTGTTTTACAGACAGAAGCTTCGTCAGGAATATTTTCAGCAGTTGTTCTCTTTGATTCAAGATTGCAAACGGGGTGCACGGAACCTCCAAGAAGAAGAAGAAAATATGGCTGTAGGTGTCTGGCTTAGTTGAGAATTAAATTGTCCATTGTATCTAAGTTTCAAGTAGCAATAACTCATGCAGAAGTTCAGCAGCTAAGGTTGAGTCCGTGAGCCCAGATGGACCAAGGGAGGCAGAAGATGTGGGGATGGGAGAGTGGACATCCTCTGTGGATGGGCCTGTCCTTTTACTGAGATAGTAAGGTCATCGGTTGGAGGTAGGACGGAAGAGGAGGTGTTGCCTTTTGGGCAGAGGAGATGGCCTGGTATGGTTTTCCGAGAGTGGGCCAGTGAATGGACTGGGGGGATGTAACAGCCAAGTGGCACTAGGGGGTCCATCTTAGGCTAGTGCCATAGTGATCATGAACTGACAGTGAGACCAGTCAGCTTTGTTATATCACAGCAGCTGTAGAATTAGAATTTTCTGGGTTGGGGTTATGTGAGCAAGTTGACAGAGGGGAAAGGTAGAGGGTATAAGAGCAAGGACAGAGGTGTGATGACTGGTGCATGGAATTTCAGGCAGTACTGATGAAAGTGAGGAGACGGGGGTGGCCTGCTGGACAGTGAAAAGTGCTCCACTCGATGGGTGTCAGTTCTTATAGACTAGTGAGCAGTGGTACTGAAATGAGTCACCTGCAAGGTGAGGGAATGCGTGGCTGGATGTTGGGGGACGAGTATAGCATGGTGGTCAAGGGTGTGGAGGCTGGAACCACACTGCACTCTTGAGGTCCAGCTCTGATTGGACCATCGGTGTGTGTGAAGCCGTGAGAACATTCTTTCTGTGCCTCAGTGTCCTCCTCTGTGGTGTGGGCATCACAGGAGAACTTTAGTCAGAGAGTTGCGCTGAGCATCATGTGAGTTACTATGTAACGAGTTTGTTGAAAATGGTTCAGCAATGTATCTATGACGCCGTTCCTGTGTAAGATTTTGGTGTCTGTGATACCGAGTAGATGTTGCAGCTGGCATTGAGCCTGTCTAGGGCGTGACCTGTGAGTGGCTACGTTCAGAGGTATGTTCTGTGCAGGACCTAAATAAAGTTCATCATTGTTGAGACATACATGTGTGTGGATTTTGAAGTCATCAAGTCTTAGGTATCTAATGTTATGTCAGAACATGTTTTATCCTGTTGAAATTTTGTCTGGAATGATGTTTTCTTAACTCTTAAGTTATGCTCAAATAGTTATTGCAACTTTCCCCTTCTATATTCTCAGAGTTTACTTCAACAGCTACAAAACGCTTCTCATCACTTTGAAGCTGCTCCGAGCCAGAGAATGAGCAAAGTTAGAATGTTGTTCCAGGGTTACTTGAAGGTCTGTTGTATTTGGCATATTTGGCGTTGTATTCTCATAACACCTAAAGTGTCTGCTGAGGATGAAAAGACTGTTTGCCTTTCCCAACATATGTTAACATTTTGATGATGCCTTTAAAAACCTTAAGCATATTCCAGTAGTATATCATGGGCCCTATTGTCAGAAAAGTAATAAACGTATTTTGACATTTAGAATTTATTAGTGGTTGTGGGTGATAGTCACAACCAAAAATGGCAATTTGGCCGTGTTCCCCGAAGTATTCGTATCATGCACGAAATTCACACTTTGCTCACAGAGTCATCGTGGCTCTTTGTTCCACTCCATGGACTGAGTAGCTCTAGATGAAAGCAGGGAGAGTTCATCTTTTCTACCTGTCACTGAATTGTCTACCTGCTGTCGATGTTTCTCTAAGAGCGAGGACCCAGTTGTAAGGGATGAGCATTGCCTTCATATCAAATTTCCTTCCTGAGTATTTCATGGCAGTATTATTGAGGTGATGACACTTCACTTTTAAGTTTTGGGGTGTTTTCAATTACTTAGGACCCACAGTAGTTATGTATATTTATGAAGTTCATGTGACTTTTTCATGAAGACTCACAGCGTGTAGTAATCCGATGAAGGTAACTGGGGTACCAGTCACCTCAGGCACTTACCGTTTCCTTGCAGTACAGTCATTCCAACTTCACTCTTGCAGTTGTATGAAGGTACACAGTGACTTCTTGTTGACTATCGTTGGCCTGTTGTGTTGTCTTGTGCTAGTCCTTCTTCATGATGTCCAACTGTATTTTTGCACCCATTACCTATTCCCACTGTGTCTCCACCTCCACTACCCTTCCCAGGCTGTTGTCACCGTTGTTCCAGTCTCTATCACCATGAGATCAATTGTTTAAATTTTTATCTCCCAGATATGAGCAAGAACGTGGGAACATCTGCCTTTGCTGTTGGGCTTAATTTCACTCAACTGAACGTTCGCCACTTCCATCCATGTTGTGGCAAATGACAGGATTTCATTCCCTTTTCATGGCTGCACACTATCCCATAGTGTGTCTGTACCACATGTCCTTTATCCCCTCCTCTGTTGAGGGACACTCGGTTTGATTCCATATCTTGGCTATTGTGAATAGTGCTGCAGTAAACGTGGGAACGCAGACATCTTTTCCATAGATTGATTTCCTTTCCTACAATGTGCTTTATATGCCAACTTACTGTCCTGGGACAGGGCCCTGGTGTGAACAACAATGAAAATGCCAGGGGGACACTATGACTTGGTGAATGAGAATTATCTACTGTGCTATGGATAGCTTAGCAAGATTTCCCCCGGTGACATCAGCCTTTTCGTCCAGCAGGCATACACATATTTAGATTCAATAGAATGCCGCACCTCCCCCACTCTCTTTCATTGGGGTGATTTGGAAACAATTTTGTTTGAAGACACCTTAAACGGTTACCCTGCCAAACTAATTTGGATGGTCAAAAATAACTACGTAGGCTTTAATAGTTTCAATATGCTGATTCCTTAAGTGGTAGCCAAATAATTTGTACACGCACATGTACAAGTCAACTGTGAAACGTTTCTAAGTAGAGAATGTGAACCATTTGTCCGTTGGTGTGCATGTTTGAGAAATGAGGTCTTCTAAATGTTCGTGCTAAATGTTGCCACTTAGGGTGGGAACGGTACTATCACTCAGTTTCCTGCATTTCCTTGTCCTTTTCAGGCAGTTGCCACCAGGCCCTGAAATTGTTTCCTCTGCCATGGTGTTGAGGAACCATTTCTTTCTTTCATCTCTCACGGCTGCTGCCCTAGGTCAGGACATCACCTCTCCTTGCTTCTTCTGTTCAGCTCTTACCTGAACTGTGCATCCTGGGAGTCAGCCTTCACAGGTGTGCACTGTTAGTTTCATAACCTACATACAGCCCTTTGCTCTTCCCATCCTGTCAGTAGCGTTCCCTTCTAAATTCTTAGCCATTCACAGACCGGTCCTTCCCAAGGAGATGACCCCCTTTAGAGCTTCATTTGCTGCCTTCTTCTCCGCCCCCCCCCCCCGGTTCTCTGCCCTCCTGTGAACTAGCTCACCTTTACTGCCATGCTTTCCTATGTTCTTCCTGCACAGTGTTTTGAAATCCTTTTTCTCTACCTTTCAAAATCTCATGCTTTTTCCTACTAAGTAGGTCTCGTCCTCCATTTTTTTTTTTTACTACGTAGTCCAGCAAGTTGACTTTCCCTTCCTTACTCTTTACAGTCTTTACAGGATTTCTGCTCAGATGTTTGCTCCTGACCCTGGAATATGGAAGGGATCACATGTTTATCTTTTGAACCATCCACAGCACTGGAATCACTTAGTTTTACATGAGATGCACCATTTTGCTGTTTGTGCTGGGAAGAGTACCAATTAACACCAAAAGCTATATTTTTCGTAATTTGAAAGAGTCATACTATTGATCGCATCATCTTATTCCTTCCTGGGAACTCATGGTACATTGAAAATTTGTGATCATCAATAGGTGTCTATCTAAAGTTCTGGAAACTTGTTATAGCATCATAAAATTATGACCCTGATTGACATACACCTTCCAGTCTTTTCCTGTTTTGGCTTCATCTTGACTTTGATAGTTTATTATCCCATTGTGCTTAGCAAAGTGCACTATCTCTGTGCTTTAAAATATCATAACATTTCACTCTAATGGCGTAGTTTAGGTTTCTGTAAGTATTTTGCTTAGTATGGTCTACTTCGAAGGTTTTTTAATTTGGAGTAAATAATGACCATCTCTTGAGTTTTAATATTGACTATTATTGAAATGTAGTTACTACGCAGTTATCCGTGATGAAAATTGGAAGTTTAGAACTACACTGGGATTTTTGTTTTAGAGTGTGGAGGACCTGGAGGAGAACCATCAAACTATTTTAGCTCGTGAACATTATGAACTTGTGATGAAGATGGCTGCATTGCAAACCAAACTCATGATGGAAACTGTAAGTGGCCTACTTATGTACACTGTCAGTAGTGAGAATTTATAGTCAGGACTGATTTAAGCAGTAAAATATTTTCTTTTGTTGAATCATGTAAAATGCTTACCTACATATTCAACAATTTACATCTCCTTTCATCTCCCTGCAGCTGGAAGAGCTGACTTGTTACTCTACTGACCCTGTGAACAATGAAGCTGAACCTGAGTGATGTGATGGAGTCCTCAAATTAGCCAAGGAAGCCAGTGTGGCTTAAAATTCCAGTCTAAATTAGTGCCTCTCCTTTGTTATCTTGTTAATTGCCAGACCTCCTTTCCATTGAAACCCAAATAAATCCTACCAGTTATGTGAGTAGCAGCAATTCCAAACTTACATGTGTCAAGCTTCCAGCCCTTTGGTAGGAACAACGACTTTATCTCCCTAATGCTGTCAGTTAACTTTTAGAAATAAATATAATGTAATCTTTCATTTGGCTTCAGTGAATCTATGTCAGTCCCAAAATGTAGAAAGCGGTTTTGAAAAATTGTATTATTTTTCTTAAGGGATATAATTCTGGAAGGGAGAGTCTATTTTACCCCCCAAATTTTGTGTGTATTCACTGTTACATGCAGAGCCTATTTAAAAAAAAAAAAAGAGAGATTTCAAATGAATTATATTCCATACTTACAAAACTTACTAAGAACAACCTAAGTATATGCCTTTTAATCAGCTAAACTGCTAAAAATCATCAAGACAGCTGAATAAGGATTGTAAGTATCAGCTGTGAAACGTGGATTTGCAGATTTATCATTTCCACAAAAAAATACCAAAACGGACGTGTCATTCAATTGGTTTTGGTCCACTGTGAAATGACATTTTCTCTTAGCAGTGATTAAAAATACTTCATTAACATATTCATACACCAAATAGCTTTTCCAGTATGTCACACTTGTTGTATGCAAAAATTACCTAGGAATTTTTTGCAGAACTAATATTCAAAATTTCCGTAATTTTCAATAGGGAAAATTGGTAGAGTATTCATCTGAACACATGAAAAGTTGTATCTCATGCCTGGACAAGATATAATTGTGCCCTTTTACATGAAGATTTCTGCCATAAGCCAAAGTAGGCATGGGTATATATGTCTCAAATACTATTGCAGACTTCTGTGGGTGAAAGCTAGAGTAGGCTGACATTCCCCCTGATTATCTCGAGTTGGGTTATGGCCCCGAATTTCAACTCCCCTGTTGCAATGCCGCCTAAGGTGGTGAAGGGGGGTTGGAATGAACAGCAGAGTTATAAGGAAAGTCTGGAAAATGACTGCTTAGAGATCAGCATTTGGGAGACAAGAATAGACGTGAAACCAGAGATTAATTCAAATTCCCCCACCGCCACCCCTACCCGCGCAGATAAGCTGCCCCTGAATGCACCTTGAAGTGAAGGCTTTTACTTTCCCTTTTCTTTGATTGGTAGCATAGTACTTCCCTGTCCCTCAGACTTATAATTTTCTTCCTTGAACAAAGCATTATTGGTTTAATTTATCCTTTGAAAACAAAGCAAGTACTCATAAATGAGCCGAGGTTTGACAAGTTTGCGAGTGTCTGTAATGTCTGCCTGAATGGAAGGGATGGGTTTTGCTACCTGCTTCCTCATGCAACCTCTTGCAATGTGTCCTTTGCGGTGAAGTTTGTGGGGCCATCCGCACTCACAGACTGACTTGGGAAAGGAAGACCTCAATGAACCCCCGGACGGGGTTCCTGAGATGACCATTTAGGGACTGCTGAAAACCTGTTTCTCTGATGATGATTAATCAACTCTTTGGCCAAAGTGGAAGCTAGGGAGCACAGACGCCAGGGCACACTGTTGAAAGCCACAGGCTGACGAGAGGCAGAGCTCAGAGTGAGTCACACCCACATCTGTCTTTCGGAAAGTCTCTTGGATTTCAAAAGGTTGCGGGAAATACACTTCACTCTTTGCCCTCCCTGGGGAAGTAGCCAGGCTAGACGGCAGGTCTGCAGAGTTAACTGAGTCGCCACCACACTAGGAACCCCTTCACTCGGCTGGCTGGCACACGGGTATGAGTGGAGTCCCGCATGGCCCTGCCCTTGTGGCATGCGGACTGCAGTGGCTGAGTCTTGGTCTACAGTTTCTGGGTCTGGTGTTGTGCTGGCCTGTCTCTGGGTTCATCTCATGGGAGCTGATTCTGGGCATCGCTCTCCAACTGAGCATTCAGGGACCCGAGGCTGGGGGCTTGAAATCAGTCATGAGGAGGCATATTTGCCGCACAGACATGGGAAAACCC